CACCTTGTGACCCCTTAGATTGATTTTTGCCCCCATCAAATTCAATTAGACCCGATTATCACTTCTTTTTTTTAATAATCACAACAAACTATTCACTATACACTGAGCTCCAAACCTAATTAAATGTTAACTTTTACTCTCCCAGTGCAGGGCCAGAAGAGGTCAGGACCAATATTTATGAGCAAACTGTACAATTTTCTGACTCTCACATTGTTTAATGTTCCTATTTAAGCTGTCGTCAAGTCGGATTTTCACTTTTTAATTCATTTCAGCCACATTCAAACCATATTCGTGTCCTAATTTGACTTGAATTCTCACCTTACAGCATCCTGATAAAACAGCAAAGCACATCTCCAGCAATGAAAACACTCTAAACTACTGACTGTGGTTCTCATAAGGCCAGCAGTACAGAAGTCCACACACACAGAGCGGGTTGTGACAGCTGTCACTCCCGTCGGCCACCAAACCGACTCCCCTCTCCGCTCGACAACATCCAGGCGTTTCCCTGTCAGGCAGCATATGCCACCGCGTTTCTGCTGCTCCGAGCCGCCTGACATTATCTACTCCCAGAGCCTGTGGCCGGCACCGACTCTCAGCCCTCTTGCTGGTGGCACCGCGAACATGATCTCTGCTGTCTCTCAGGCAGCAAACTGATGCTGTCACTGCACCAAGATATAACACGACCCAGTGGCAAACGCGTTGTGACAAGGACATGCAGGCACACCAGCGCGCACACGGACGCACAAGTGCTCACATCCCGTCGATATGCAACAACAGTTACGGCGAGCAGAGGCTTTGTTCGGCTTTTATTTTCTCCAGACACCAGATAAGGTCAGCTGCACACAAGGTCACTCGCAAAAATATTCAGTTTTTAATTCCATTTGGGCGTGCTCACCCACTTGACACATTTAAAAAGAAAAAAAAAAAGCAAAATGCAAGAAGTTGAATTTAGTTTGGCCAAAGTTTAAAATGTTCCAGATGTGACTGCGTCTTCATCGACAGGAAGAAGAGCTGCCTGATGAGGAAGAAAAAGGCCTCATTCATGTACTGAAGCTTCGTCTTTGCACTGTGTTGCGTTGAGCTTTACACGCTGACGGCTGAGAGAGGAAGCTTCGGGGCAAACGTGTTAATGGCTCTGTGGTTAGAAAGAGCAGAAGAAATATAATCCGATGCCACATGAAGATGTCATCAGGCCACTAAGTAAAATAATCAAGAGGTGGATTTATAACAAAGCAGCTCTTTACTCCTGCATTTGTAGATGCTGCCTGCCACCTGCTGGTAGGAATGGTGAACTGCAGCAAGTGTTATGCCAATTACTATTGTTATTATTACCTTCATTTATTCCTCTAATTAAGAAAAATAGACCAAAAAAACAAGAACACAAACAAATACAAACTGCAACAGACCAGTCGAAACATCCAAACTTTAATTTAAAATCAATTCACGTTCATCCAAAGGAACGACACTTTTAAAGTTTAAAAGTCTTCTGTAAGTCAGTATAAAATTATTGTTGAAAATGGGCTTCAAAAGGTCCATATTTACATGTGGCATGTCAATAGGCAGTCCTGGTGCAGCTGTGAGAGGAAGAACATTTCACATAATAGACCTTTAAAAAAGAAAAGAAAAAAAAATGGACAGGGAAGGAAGAGCTAGAAAAAAGCAGAAATTAACAAAGGCAACTTGAAAGAGAACAGAGTGAGTTGGAAAAGAAAGGGAATGTGTGGAAGGCTTATCCAGTCTCTGGTCATCTTTACTTTCTGATTTTGATGTATAAAAGAAAACTGAGTTGCTTTGGATTCAAGGACCAGCTGGATTTACTTTTCCTGAGCAATAAGTAACTGCTGCCTATCCCAGGCTGTGAGGTGGAGCGGTGGTTAGCCTCGCAGCAAGAAGGTCGCCAGTTCGCGTCCCGGTGAGGACACCCAGGATCTTTCTGCATAGAGTCTCCATGTTCTCCCCGTGCAGCATGGGTTCTCTCCGGGTTCTCCAGCTTCCTCCCACACAGTCCAAAAACATGTTTAGGCTAATTGGTGATTCTAAATTGTCCGTAGGTGTGAATGTGAGTGTGCTTGGTTGTCTGTCTCTAAGTGTAGCCCTGTGATAGACTGGTGACCTGTCCAGGTGAACCTGCCTTTGCCCTGAGTCAGCTGGGATAGACTCCGGCCCCCCATGACCCTAGTGAGGATTAAGGTGTATAGATAATGCATGCATGGATGGATGGATGCATATCCTAGCAGCAGAGTTCGATGAAGCTCGTTAAACTGCCTCTTTGGTCTGCTTGGACAGTGTTGGATGTTTTTGTTGCACTCTTGTTCAGATGTTGTTTTTTTAGAAATCTCCAGGCTTCTTCTTCTTTCTTGCCTCAGTTTAGCGTGTCCTGTCCCGCCTGCTGTACTTTTCTACCCATGTTTGCCTCATAAACAGATCTCAAAACTAGAGACTGTTCACCTTCCTTTGCTAAATAAGGAGCATTTGTTTCTTCTTGACGACACTGAATTTGGTTTTCAGTTGATCGTTGGTTTCTGCTGCTTTACTGGGCGTTTGTGTGTGAGATGCTCTTGCGTTAGATGATTATTTAGGATTAAATAGAACCACATTTAGATCACAAAACTGAATTGTGTGGTTTCCCTTAAGTATCCAGACTGTCCCTCTGACATGTTCACCGAAGTCTCTTTAAAAAGACAGGCGGAGTTTATTCCCGTCTACACTAAAATCTGAATGGAAAGCAGAGATTACCATCGCTTTATGATTTATACATGTTTCAGGGCTTGTGAATCAAGTGTGTGATGTCATAACGATGCCACGGTAATAATAATAATAAATCAACATTAACCAACTTTATTGAAATAACTTTACAGTCAGACAAAATGCGGAACTGGTGAAAATATAAATTCTGATACCAACATAATCATCGACTATGGAACATGTTTACATCGTCACAGAAACGAACCCGACGAGAGCTCCACTCGAAGCTTTACGTTTGCATAAAAGTTCAGGCTTGCATAAAAACCACCCTGTTTCCTGTCACTTCATGCCAAACCGCGTGCAGCCGCCTCTTCGACGGGCTGCAAAATAAAAGATGTCAGGCTCGATAACGCCTGCTGCAGGAGCGTCGCTCCCTACCGACCTCTGACCTCTAACTTTAACATGTTCTGTCACTACAAATATCAAGTACTTACGAGTGTTGAAATTCCACTCTTAGCGAACAAAAAAAAGACCATTAAATAAAACTATCATTTACAATATTTATCAAAAAAAAAAAGTACATTGTTTCCCCACACAGATCAATACTCCCGATAATAAATTATGTACTCTCAAGAATCTCCCGAGAATCCATAAGTTGATGGCTTTGTGTCAAATGCATAGACTAGTTCTCTAAGGGAGATGAACACACCGAAGAACTAAAATGTAAACGTACTAAACAAATCTGCAAAACACGTGAAAGTAAAACGGAGAATGAGGTGAATTTGGAGTCGAAAAGCAGTTTTTTTTCTTCTCAGTAGCTTGACTGGTTGATATTAAGTCGTTGTCGCTACCTACAGGAAGCACAAGTCGCTAAGTCACGAGTACGATGTGAAAGAAGTGCAGATGTTTCAGGTCAAATTGTTAGAACAAGGTGTCAGTAGTTCTTGGTTATCCCGACACACATGTTGGCTTGAACCACGGGGCACTAATGAGATTATTTTCTAACTAATTGTCCATTCTTCAGCTTGGTTATAACCACAGATTTGCCATTAATACAAAAAATAATAATAATAATAAAATGAATCATAAAGACGATTGAGTGCTGTGCTGTTTCATGTGGAGTCAAAACGATTCTGCCACAGTTGATGTTGGAGGCTGTAAACCAGTGGAGAGCAGCTGTGGACTTGTTCCCTGTAACTGCAGATAAAGGTGGAGATCACTGAAGAGAACCTTTTAGAAACAAACCGATTCCCTTCATATACTCCAACTAATGCTCGGAGCAGTTCAATTCGTGTGTATGTACGATGTATTTTTAATATTTATTATTTTTGCTAATCTAGGACACATTGAAAAAATAAACTCCAAACTAACAAATATTTTTTTAAATTTTTAAATTGCTTTTTTGGTAATTATGGCTTATTTTTGTAATAAAAGTAGCAAAAAGTTGTTGAAAACGTACCCTACAGATGTGCGATGATGTTGGGGAGTAAGAACATTTTGATCACAACACTCAGTTTTGATCATAATTCAAACAGTTTATCTTCTAAATGTGTGATCTTCTGCTGCTGAAGCTGAGATTCTGGACAGCTTTAGCCAGAACCTGCACTGACTTAGTGGTTTGTTAGGTGAAAACTGTAACAGAGAACACTCGTCCTGTAGCATCGTGTTGGACGACAACTGATCAAAAGAAAACTGGCACATCGTCAAAGCCTGGTCTGTGAGTATGCCCTAAAAACTGACGATCATGAATGTGTTGTCCATCACAGACACGAGCAAACTTTTAAAGAAAACAGAAGATATTTCACATGAAACAAAAACAACAAACTGAAACTCGACACTGACGTACAGCAGGTAAGAACATATTTGCATCACAGTTTCTGACAGTTCTTAGTGGCATCGTGGAAAGATTTGGTATTTTACGTCGTATCCCCGAACACAGCAGATGTCTGTAAGTCTTCCGTCCAGCTATGTGACTGTAGCTCTGCTTTTCGTTTCCACCCGGGCCACGGTATTCCTACAGTGTCTTGCTACTACTTCTACAGTAAACCCTGAACAATTCTGCCTCGTTTCCACATTTCAAAACACACCTCCATGTGTCTACATATCTACACTCTTAACAAACAAAAAGCATGCGTAACACTTTGAATGGAAATCAAAATAACAGCAGTCCGCCTCATTGCTTTGCATATATTGTGCATTATCCAGTGCCTCTGTTCCGTCAGGAGTTATGGCTGGTTCCTTCAGAGAACAGCAGGCCTCTTTGTTCAACAGTTAGTGTTGTGCAAGCCGGAATCCAACAGGAATGTAATGGTTCTTCACGTTCCTTTATGGAGAGACCCTGAGGATGAAGTGTTGCGGCTGTTCATCTGCAGGAGACAAGAGAGAGGCACACCGGTTAGACCCGGCAGCTCGGTTTGTGTGTCTATGGTTGACCATTTCTACGTGGAAAGGTTCTGCAACAAGGCTGTATGAGGGTTGAGAGTTTTAGATTTTAGGTTAGCGTCAGATTTAGGTTTGACTCAGGGTGAAGTTTAAGCATTTAGTTCAGGTGTAAAGGAGCAAATTATATCAATCATATTATCAAGTATTCTCACTAAGAAATACAAATATAATGACTAAGCTAGCAGTCAATAACAGCTCATATAGTTTAATGTTAAAAAATGGTGCTAATCTGAAACTACAGTCGTGACTCGATAAACGACACTAAATGTAAAACCTTCTTTTATGTCGGATAGCAAGGCTGT